AACGCGGGCGGCTGGGATGGAGAAAAAAAAGAAAAAGGGCAACGAATGATACATCTCCGAGGAACGGCAAACTAACGGAAGAAAGAAGGAAAGGGAAGGAAGAACCGAGGCGAAGAGGAAGGGCAGCAGAGGAGGAGGAGCAGGAGGCGATGGATTTTAGGCTGACTGCCGGTGGGTGGGAGGTGTGGCTTCTCTCCTCTGCAACCCGTAAAGGGGAAAGGAAATAATAACTAACGGCCCTCCCCCGCCGATTTTTGCCCGACACCCACACAGAGGCACAGAGACGCCCCTTTGACAGACGGCGGTGGACAGCCAAGCGAAGGAAGCATGAACTCCCTGTGCTTCTCCTGTGTGGCGTCTCATTACTCTTTGAATCTTAAAGCTAACATCCTCCCTTTTCCCCCTGTGCGTGCGCGCCCTTGTGTGTGTGTGTGTAATGGTTCTTGCGAACGCGCCGGCCTCGTGCCGAAGCGGTGTTTGCACGGGAGTGAAGCTTTCTCGCTGTTCTCTCTGCTGGCTCTTCTCGGTGGTGTCTTCTACTGGTGGTGGGGAGAGGGGGGCACCGCGGCACACGACGACGAGAGGTGAAAGAGGGACAGAAAACACGGAGTGTTAGAATGGAGGCGAACGTCTCGCGCGAGTCCACCACGGAACCTCCGCCAGGGCGGGAGGATGTTGGGATGGTGTCTTCCTCAACCGCGACGTCGGCATCCACACGACGACGACGACGACGACGACGACGGCGGCGGCGGCGGCAGCTACGGCGGCAATGGCGACGGCAGGGGCGCCAAGCGACGGCGATGACGGCGACGGCGTCAGCAACGACAGGGCCAACGCGTTGGCCCGCAGCTTTGAGGAGCTGCTTGACGCCGAGGTGTCGGTGAATCCTGCGAAGCTGCGTGAGGCCTCACGGGCCGGCATTCCGCCGCTGTACCGCAGCCCTGTCTACCTCTACCTACTGGGCGTCGCCTTTGTGGACAAGTCGCGTGAAATGTCGCTGGAACGAATGCAGGAGAAGGACTTTGAGCAGTTGCTGTCGACCTTCGCCCGAATTGCCGCCTCGGATGAGACCGGGCGGCGACCATCTGTGAAGGGGCGCATCATGCAGCCGCTGGCACCGCTCACGCCGCATGACGCTGAGAGCATCCCACTGATTACCCGACAGGAGAGCCAGTTTGCAAACGGCTACCTGTGCTCAGGCCGCAACTTCTCCGTGGGCTACGCGGCGTGGCTAAAGCTGTACGCCAACTTGCGGTATCTGCCGCGGTTTGTAGGGAATTCGGTGCGCCGGCAGCGGATGGAGGCCGCGTGGCAGGCCCTGCACGTCACAAACTCAGAGGCGTCGCCCGATGAAGTGCAGGATTTGTTTGACCTGGCGCTAGTGTTTGAGTCGGTGCATAGCACGGCGCGGGATATTTACTTCTCTACCGCCTCCCTCTACCACTTGCTGACGCACCACGGAAACGTGCTGCAGAGTGCGCAGTGTCTGCAAAGGAACTGCGGTGCATTTCTCATGCTGTTTCGCGCCACGAACTTTGACCTCTACCGCCACTTTGTGGCGGAGGGCGTCACTGTCGTGGAGTGGGTGCCGGGGATGCTGAGGACACTTCTGGCCGGCCGGCTGCATGAGGACGACCTGCTGCGCCTCTGGGACGTACACTTGGCAGGCGCGCTGGAGCACCTGAGCTGCCCGCTGCACCCGTACGTCTGCCTGGCAATTCTTGCGGAGATGACGGAGGTGCTGCTCGAGTGTGAGAGGTCCGGCATCATTGAGCGGCTGCGGCACCTCCCGCGCATCAACGCTGGCAGCATCATTCAGAAGGCCATCTCGCTGAAGGAGTCTGTTTTCTCAAAAGGTCTGCTGTGAGCCAAGTGTGCAGCTGCGTATGTCGTTTTTGTGTCTGTGCATTGTATGAAGTGATGGAGTTGGGAGTGGAGTGGAGGGAGGAGGGGGGTGGCGAGGCAAAGTTTGCGCAACTGCGGCATTGGGCTGAGTAGGTGCCCATATTTCCCTGCATGGGCCCCGCAACGCACGCAGACACGCCCACCCGTGAACGTGTCCATGCGACTGCAACGACTAGACGTCTCTCTCTCTCTCTCTCTCTCTCTGCAAGTGTGAACGACTTCCGCCTTGCTCTGTTTGGCGCTGCGCCGCCAGAACCATCTTTTGCTCGGAAGGAAAGAAGGACGGAAGGAGGGTGCGCCTGTGGAATGCATGCCACCGTCGCCCCGGGAAGCTACTGGGCCGCTTTGCAGAAGCAGCTCGCCGCCTCCAACCCTCCCGCCACTCGGCCCGCGACAGCAGCCACAACGTCGTCGTCGCCGTCGCGCGGCGCACGCGGGCACCCGCAGCACGGCAAGGGTGTCGTCATTGAGAACAGTAGTCTTTTGGGGGGCCTCAACGACCCTGACGAGGCGATGGCGTTTCGGCAGTCCAGCGCCGCGGCGGCTGCGGCAGTAGCAGCAGCGGGGGAACTCGTGCAGGTGAGCCCAGCATGCAACGGCAGCGGCAGAACCCGCTCGCTCGTGGTGGACTTTATCGATGAGTGCGTGCGCAGAGGTGTGTCGGAGTCCGTCATTGTCGAGCACGTCATGTTCATGGTCCACGCGATGCAGGAGGAGATCAACCTGACGGAGGCCTTGCATGCACGCTTCCACCAGGACCGCCTGCGCCAGTACGAGATGCTCGAATTGTCAAAGACGCTAGAGCGGCAGCGAGTCTACCACGATGAACAGCAACAGCAGCAGCAACAACAACAACAGGGCAGCAATAGGAAGAAACCGCATGAGCCTGCGAAGGAAAACAAGGATTTGGTACAAAGCCAGGAGCGTGAGGGCAATGCCCCGCCGTGGCGTCAGGCGCGGTGGAACGCGGCACCCGTCGTCGGAGGTCGCGTTGGCGGGCGTCGTGGGCGCCAGGCGTTGCCGTCGAGCAATGAGAGTCGTGCGCGCGTGGCATTTACGCAGACGCCGCTGGATGGCACTGAGCCGCAGCGACAGGAAAGAGGGGGGAATTGGGGCACTGCAGCAGCAACTTTTCAGCGCTTCATGCGGCCGACGGATGCCAGCAATAGGAAAGAGCGACGAAAGTACAGGGCGGTCTCGGAGGAGCTGCATGCGCCTCCTCCCCCGCCGCGAGTGATGCGAGCGCAGAAGTTCACGACGCCGACCCTGCCAGGGGCGCGGTGTCGGCGTCTGCCGCTTGGCAAGGACGCGTTTGCCCGGCGTGGGCGTCAGCGGCTTGTGGGCAAACCGGGCAGCGCGGGCGACAGTCACCTGACGTGGTCCGACGACGACGACGACGGCGATGACGAGGACGGTAATACGCTCCCCCTTCCAAAATACCCTGGTGAGGGGCGCAGCCCCAACCCTAGGGCAGAAGACGCTCCACAGCTGGAGGGAGAAGCCACGCCCTCCGACACCGTGCTTTCCTCCTTGTCACCACCGCGCAGCGAGACTCTTCGTGCCGGTGACGGCGTCCCTGCGACAGGGCTCGACGTTGTGGATAAAGGGCCTGAGAAGAGGCAAACAGACTTGGTGGGGGATTTGGGCCGGTGGGCAGCGGGGAGTTTCCCTGCCACTGCCACTGTCTCTGCATCCGCGGCCGCCCCGCCGTTATCCGCTTGCACCCCCTCATTCTTTCCGAGCCCGCAGCTGCAGGCGTACATCGAGCAAAGCCGGCGCAAGGTACGGGAGGTGGAGCGTGTTTTGGCGAGCACACCTGAGTGCAGCAGTATGCGGGGCGCGCGGTGAGGCCGTACCGCAATCGCGAAGCTTCTTCTTCTTCCCGCGTAAGTTCTCGGAGCTGTTCCGAGAGAGGCGTCCCAGAGGAGCGGGGATGCTCGTTGAGAAGTTTATTGCTGTTCTTGTTCTTGTTGTTGTTGTTGCTTCTTGCCCCTCAGACGCCATTGTCTTTGGTGCGCTTATTTATCTGCGTCTGCTAGAGAGGAGGAGGAGCCTTTGTACACTTATCTTCGGGTGGAAGCATACCCACTGCAGTGGCGAGCCTGGGGGAAGGGAGGGAAATGAGGTGATGCATGCCGGCGCAAAAGGGGAGGCGTGGGCGGTGGGGCACTGCTGCATCGGTTAATGTCAACGCTCAACTCTATCTCTCCCTTTCCTCTCCTCTCATGCCCGCACAATAATGTTTTGGTTTTAATCTCGACTGACTTAACGAGGGAGCGGGCAGCCAAGAAGGAATGGCGGAGCGGTTTTGCGTGCACCTGGCGCCCCTTGACGTCAGCCTCATGGCGGAGGAGAAAAACGGCGAGGTGGCGCCGCTGCTGCACGTAGAGTTCCACATGCAGCAGCGGGGGGACGCCCTGTACGATGAGGCGGAGCTGCGTGCGGAAGGGCGGGACACCAAATCCAGGGCCTTGCTCACGAGGCTTTACTACGGCGCTGCGAATATTGTGCGTGAAATTGAGGCGGGTCCCGCCCTCGTGCGGGGTCGCCCCATCGCCGCGGGGGGTTCGCGTCGCTCCTCAGCACACCTCCACCTGCAAAACGGTGACCGGCTGTTCTTCCAGCAGCCGGTGGAGGCGGGGGACTACATGTTGGCCGTCACCGTCCCGGCGGGTGTGTGGCGGTGGCTGGGGCCGGTGACGCTGCAGATTCTCCTGGCGACGGCGGTGCGGGGGTATGAAATAGCGACAAGCGTCGCCGCCGTTGCCTCCGTCCCGACGTACTACCCGCTGCGGGAGCGCCTAACCGAGAGCGCGGGGGCCGTCGAGGACGCGGTGCGGAGGCGCATGCAACAAGTCATGGAATTTGTGGAATTGTTAAGCGAATGCGAGCACCACGAGACGGCGTCGTCCGCAGCGCTGCTGCGAGGCGGCCAGGAGGTCGTTCTCGCCACGCAGCGACTGTGCCACGAGCGCCCCTCACCGGCGCGCAGCGACAGCCGCCTGTCAGGCACACTGCAGCAGCTACTGTGGTCGGCGACGAGCTACGCCGACTACGTTTCCCTCAGCGGTGCCTTCGCCAGCGGCGGAGTGTGCAGTGGGCACAAACGCCTCGTGGTCACGGCGGCGGCGGTGTGGTACCGCGGTGTGCCCCTCTTCAACAGCGGCCCCGGCGACGACTTCGAGGCGTATCTCTTGCCAGCCGCCCTTGTGGCGTATGCGGATCGCTGCTTGGCTTCTCGGGAGGCCACCGCGGTGCAACAGCCCATCACTGTGAAGTGCCTTTCAATGCACCGGCAGACCGCCCAAGAGGCGCCACGCGCCGCGGGTTACGTGCGGCAACATGAGGACGCAAAGGAACAGACGGCCGCCGTCACTCTTGCGTTTGTCTCGTTAGGCGGGTGGATCATTGCGCTGCACATGGAGGCCGCACTGAACGCCTTCACTGGCGCCCCCATGCCGCACATCGTCTCTGGCGTAACGGAGCTCATCACCAGGACACTAGAAACCCCGCGCTTTGCCACGCTGGTCCGCCTGCACACCGCGGGAGGACAAGTGATGATGGAAGGCCAAACCGCGAGCACCACCGTCAGTCCTGCTCCTACGACCGCGGCGGCGGCTGCTGCTATGACCGCCGCGTCCGCTTGTATTCTCCGTGGCGTGCGACACTTTGGCCTCTTCGCACACTTCTGCGCTGGCGCCAGCTACGCGACGACGGTAGCGCGGGACATTTGCCTCTACCGTTACCGCCAGACCGCCCCGAGCGAAGTGGTGAGCAATGAGTGGAGCCTGTGGCCGAGACACACGCAAACGGCCGTGCAACGCCTGGTGGAACTCAGTGCTCTGACGCTCCGACGGCGGTGTCGAAAGGCGTGTGGCGGCGGCGTGGAACGACTCGCAACGTTTTCTTTGCTTCGCGGGCGCCGCTCCGTTGTTGTGCTCTTGGCTGTCCCTGCCTGCAGCCCTGTGCCCAAAGTTGTGTTCTTTTTGGCGGAACTGGAGCCGGAGGGCATTCCGGCGGCGACCGAGTTGCGCGCCTTCGCAACGTGGGTGTTGAAAAAGGTTGTCTGAGGAGAGAATGGAAGCGGGAGGAGACAACGAACCTGTCCATTATTATTATTTGTTCTGTTGTTTGTTTTTTGTTTTTCGTCGCTGCGTTGCATTGCTGCTTCTTTCTGTTCCTCCGTTTTCCATAGACTCAACTGCCAGTATTGACACGAATGGTCGTTGTTGTTGTTGTTGTTTTTCTCTCTTACTCTCTCTGTGTGGGTTCGTCATTCCCCGCCCACCGGCGTGCACTGCTGCTGCCGTGAACCGCCTTCTCACTTCTGATTCATCTCCTTTCGCCGCCTGCGGTGTGCGTGCGTGCGTGTAGTTTATTTGTTGTTGTTGCGTTGTCCTGCGTGTGCGCGGCAACACGAGACGCGGAGGGGTGGCACTCCACCGGGCCTGGGTACTGCTGCGGTGACTGCCGAGGATGCCGCGCGCGCATGGCATTCCGTTGCCCGCGAACCTCCCGCGCAGCGGCGAGGCGGAGGACGACGACGACGACGACGAACTCGTGCGGCAGCTCGTCGAGGCGGCCGACGTGGACGCGGTCATTGAGCGCATGGAGCTGCAGCACCAGCGCCGCCTCTCCCCCATCGTTCAGGGCCTGAAACCCTTCAGCCGCCCGCCCCGCCGCGAGCCGCGCCCCGCCGCCCGCGGCCAGCCACGACATCAACCACCACCGCCACCACCGTCGCCACCACCGTCGTCGTCGTCGCCGCCGCCGCCGCCGCCGTGCGAAACGCGGCTCAGTGCGCCGCTGCGCTCGCCGGCGGGGGACGCGGGGCTGCAGGGGAACCACGGGGAGCCGGTGCGGGGCGTGTGGGCCCCGCCGCCCCCCACGGCGGGCACGTCGCCGGCGTCCTCCGTGTGCACCGCGGCGGAGCTGCGGCGGTGGCGGTTAGATTTCGGCGCGCCGCCGCCGCCTCTGCGGTCGCCGCGCCCCTCCGACGAGGACGCCTCCTCCGCCCCGCACGAGAACGACCACACGGAGAAGCCCTCCGTCAACCGGCGGCATCGGGCGCGTGAGCACCGGGCCCCGAGGATGCGGCCCCCGATTGAGTCGCCCGCCCTGGTCAATTCACCGCCGCCGCCGCCGCCGCCGCCCGTGGCGCAGGGCAGGCGGGCAGGCAGTGGGGCGCAGCAGCGCCGGCGTTACGGTGACCGTCACCGGGCACCGTCACCGGGTGAGTCGCCCCACTATTCCGCGCGCCGGCAACTGGATCTGCAACGCTCGTACTGTGAGCTGTCGAGTATTCGCGGCGCATCCCTTGAACGACCTGCACGACGAAGTCAGAGTGCCCGGGGTGGCTACTATGACCGCTACTACGACCCCAACTTTCGCGGCGACGTTTACCGGAGGGCTCCCGCGCTCGCACGCATGGAGGCTCCTTCGCGGCGTCGACGCTCCGCTTCGCCTCCGGCCGCCGTCCCGGCCCTGTCTCCCGCCGCAGAAGAGGATGCGTGGACCCAGCACACAGGGATGGGCTCCTGCTACGACCGAAGGGATTATTGGGGCTACATGGGAAACGGCTTTGAGGGAACACCTACGGCCACCACGGAGGAGGCGCACACGCCGGACGACGTGGACTACGATGAGGAGGAATATGGTGCATTTGCCGCGGTGCCGCCGCGCATCATAGAACGTGAGCAACACCTGCGCTCACGGGTGGTGGAGCCGCCACTGACTAACTCCGACGCAGCCGCCGGCTCCGCAGATGGTAGAGGGAAAGCTGTGGAGCAAGAGCCCGCGGCGAGCGAGGAGAACAACACAAAGAACAACTACGGATCCCACGGTCCAACTTATACCACGCACTCCGTTCAGCCACGATCACCGCATTACCTGGATGCGAACGGCGCTGGTGCAAGTAATAAAGTGCTTAGCCCCTCTGATCAGGAAACCACGCATGCGGGGCCGTCGTTGTCGTCCTTGGCCGCCACACCACGAGAACGCGCCACGGTGGAGGCACAAGAACAGGGCAAGGCGTCTAACGGCCGCTCGGAGTCTTGGAGTCACCCTCAGGCTCTGCTGGCACGAGGGCCTTCGACGGTTCCTCCAGGAAGCGATGAACATACGTTGCGCCCTGACAATACCGCAGGACGTCAAGGCGTGCAGCGCATTAGCCCTGCATTGTCACCAACGCGGCAGCGGGATCAAAGATCAGCTGCGCAAAGCCCGCGTGATGCCGACCCTCGCGACAACGGGAACGGAAACAGGAACCCCAAACGAGATCGAAAGGAGGAGGCCGCTGCTTCACCGGGGCATGGCGAGATGACGCAGCACACACACGAGCAGCGCAATCCACGGGCGGTGGCTAGGGGTGCTGGAAAGGAGAAGAAGGTGGTCTCCCCTTCCCGATCAAATGGAGAGGACTCCTCCGATTCGTATACGTACTCTAGCTACACTTGCTCCTCCGACGGCTCACTGGGCATGGAACCGCTATCGATTCCGGCAGCGGCAGCGGAGGTCAAACCAAAAAATATTCCAAAAAGCGCCTCCGCTGCGGTGGGGCCGCTGCTACGAGCCAAAGCCTTCCCGCCGCCGGGTCCGTCTGTGCATCCTCCTCCAACAAACCAGGAAGGCAAAAGGGTGAAGCAGCCGACACCACACTCTCACTGTCTGCTGCAGCAACGGCAAATATCAGGACCACCTCCGCCCCCCGGCTTTAAAATGGCATCGGCGGCACCATTTCGCCCTTCGCTTCAGAATTCATTTTTAGAAATTCATTCCGATAACACGCCGGACCTTGGCTTCGTCCCTATGGCTGAGGCAGCCAGCGCTTACTCCTTCTCCAAACGATCATACCCACGAGAGAGGCCTGTGACAGGTGCTTCACGCCCTGATGCAAGCCTGCGGAGTGTTTCTAGGTCAACGGCATCGAGGATGCCATATGTGTCGTACCTGCCACATTCTCTGCTGGGACCAGAAAGGTCCTCGGTGCCGGTGCCAAAGCCGTTGCCTACGCAGACCGTTCCGCAGGGGCAACACCGAGGCGCCTCTGTACCTGCCTCCATAACGGGGCTTCCCATTGAGTCTCAAGAGATCGTCTGGCGTACGAGCGACGGTGGTCGTGTCGAGGGCAAGAAACATCACAGTCCCTCGGCTGTGAAGGCAGCGTTGACTCGGCACGACGCTTTTCCGCAGCCGAGAAGTATGTCTCTAGGGACCAATCCGCCACCGCCAAGTAGGATTCCACTTCGAGCGAGAAACTCAATCAGTGAAATGCGAAGTTCGAGCGTCAACCGTGTTGTTGAGGTGCCACAGCGACGACCGAGTAGAGAGGCCTCGCTTGCCGTCAATCAGCAGCCAAGGAGCTCGATAGCCACTTATCCTGGCAGCGCGGCAAACGCGTATAACACACGTGACGAGACGAATGCAGTACAAACAGTCGTTATCCAGCTTCCGTATAAAGCAAGGTAGGGAGATGCTGCACTTTTCCCCTCGTTTTGCTTGCATACAAGAGATCCCACCGTGTTATATATTTGTTTGCTTTTCTGCCAATTAGTTGTAGAGAGGGGAATAGATGGGAATGAGGGTGTGTTATTCTTGTTGTTCATTGTTGATGCAGTCCTAGGCAGTATGCTGGAAGCAAATTAAATTGACGGGCGTAGCGCGGCGCGGGGCACCTGCGTGATTGATGGGAAAAGTGGGATTGGCCTGTTTGTTTGTCGCCTTTCCCCAGCTATGTCGCATTGTCTGTGTGCTTCACCCTTTATCTTGCATGGCAGTTCATTTCAGACGCGACTGTGTGGTGTCCCGTCTTTCTTTCTTTCTTTCTTTTTTGCTTCTGTACATACATACATGTTTACCGCCCCCCCACCTCCACCACGCGGGACGTTTATGTATAAATAAACTCCCTCGCCTCCACATGCGCTGCCGCGTCTGACGTCAGCGTCTCCGTTACGTTGCCTGTGCGGCCGCTGCGGTCACCGTGGGGGCGCATCATGGGCACTGTCATGCCACCTCCGTCAGGAATAAAACTGTATCTTGCTTCCTTTCCTTTCCTTTCCTTTCCTTTCTCTTCCTTTCCCTTGTGTCTGTGTGTCCGTGGGGATGGGGGCGTCCCGTCCGAAATGGCTGAAGAGAGCAGCTACGATTATTGGGGTGGGGGGTGGGAACTTCGACGCGATGGTGGCGGCCGTAAGTGCAGCCAGTGTTGGGCAGTCGTGGGCCGAGAAGTACAAGCCGGCGACCATCGCCCAGATGTGTTACCCGGCGGCTGCGAACAAACTAAAGGCGTGGGTCGAGGCATTCGACGCCGATGGTGCCAAGAGGCGGGGCGCCCTGCTATCCGGTCCCCCCGGCGTGGGGAAGACAACCTCCGTCTACGTGGTGGCCAGGGCGCTTGGCCGCGTTGTTGTCGAGTACAATGCCAGCGACTTCCGCAGCGGCAAGTCCCTCCGCGAGCACGTCACAGTTGCGATCAACAACCACGCCTTTAATGCGAACGCCTCCGCGTACGCCAAGATACTTCTGCTCATGGACGAAGTGGACGGCTGCGACGTTGGCGGGGTGAAGGAGATTATAGAAATGATCAAGACAACAAAGATACCAATTGTGTGCACTTGCAACGACCGCTGGCACCAGAAGCTGCGGTCCCTCATGAACTACGTGGAAGACATCCGCGTCACCCGGCCCCCCTGCAATATTGTGGCAAACTACCTCTGCGACAAAGTATTGGCCCGCGAAGGAATTTCCCTCTCGAAACAGCTCCTGCAGGACGTCATTCAGCGGTCTGGAAGCGATATTCGCAGCATGTTGAACAACCTGCAGGTGTGGTGTCTGGATCGCACCTCGCTGGAGCAGAAGGCCCTCGCGGCGTGCGCCGTGCAGTCGGCGAAGGACAGTGACGTGGGTTTGTTTGAGGCGGCGGAAAAGTTTCTGCTGCAAGGCACCTCCCGCGGCAGGCCCCACTCCATTGAGGAGTTGCAGACCACCTTTTATAATTCGGATCTGGTGGATTTGTTTGTGCAGGAAAACTACATTCACTTCAACCCCGAGGGCCGGGATTGGATGGAGGCCGTGGCGCGCCGCCGACTCCATCTCGCTTGCCGACGTCGTGCAACGCGTCATGTACTTTGGGCAGAACTGGTCCGTTTCGCGTGCCCATGTGCAGCTCTCCAGCATTGCGCCCTGTGCCTTTACCCGCGGCCACTACGAGTCTTTTCTCTCCGGGCAGCAGGCTTCGTTTGACCGACAGCGCCCTGTGAAGTTTCCCTCGTGGCTTGGGCAGAACTCCAGCGCGAACAAAAATAAGCGGCTCCTTCGTTGCCTGACGCTGCAGGCCTCACACCACACGAGGGGCATTAGCGGCAACCAGGAGGACGCGCTGCTGGACTACATTCCGCTGGGCTGGGAGGGCGCCCTCACGCAGCCGCTAGTGGAGCGAGGAAAGGCGGCCCTCGACGAGGTCATTCGCGTCATGGATCAGTACCACATTTTGCGCGATGACTGGGAGTTTGTTCAGGCCGTCTCGCACTTCAAAAAGATGCGGGCCTCGCCTCTCAACGCCGCGGGGGGAGACATACCGGCGGCCGTCAAGTCGGCCTTCACCCGGGAATTCAACAAGACGCACCACACCGAGAGTTTTGTGAAGGGGGCGCTGCAGCACATGGCTGGCGTGGACACTCAAGCCGACGACGCCGAGGCGGAGGCGGAGAATGCGGACGATGGAAAAGGGCTGCTGAAGGGCGGCGCAGGGGCCACCAAAAAGCCGGCGGCGAAGAGGGCGGCGGCGAAGAAGGCGGCGGCGAAGAAGGAGTCCGCGCCAAAGCCCAAGGCAAAGCGGGCGCCACCGAAGGCCAAGAAGGCAGCGGCAAAGCGGCGAAGAAAGGCGAAGGAGTCGGACTCTGAAGATGAGTTCACCGGGGACAGCTCCGACAGCTCCGACAGCTCTGACGAGTGACGCTGTTGACTGCGTCTTCTCCGCGTGTCCGGGGGAGCGAGGGGAGAGGCGGAGCGGCAGCATGGACATCTGTTCTACACGTGGTGAGGAGCACTGGAGAGGCTTTTATTATAATTACCACTCCATTTGTTGTTGTTGTTTGTTTTTTTGCTTCATTCCCGAGTGTGTCCCGCACCACCACAGGCGCCCCTTTGTGCATTTTTTTTCTTCTTTTTTTTCTCTGCTTCGATAACGCACGCGGCGGGCGGATGCTGCCCCCCCCCCCCCCACCAAACCACGCACATGCCTCTTGCCGCAGTTGGCTACTTACACCCCTTTCTTGTTTCCTCCTCCTCCTGCTGCTGCTGCTGCTGCTGCGTGAGCTGTGATTTGTGTGGACTCTCGTTGCAGCCACCCTTCTTCTTTCTCTTTCCTTTTATCCCTTTTGGTGGGAGTGGTGGAGGCTGTGTGCGGTGTACAAGATGCTGCAAGCAGAGGTGCATCCGGTGGAGCATGTGAGGATCGGCAAGCACGTATTCCCGATCTACTCACACCCACTGCTGCGAAGGAAGCTGAAAGATGAAGCCTTATTGGAGCAGGAGATCGAGAGGCGGCTTCACAACCCGCGGCTTCTGCATGCGGTGAATGAAGTAGTGGAGCAGCTCCTGCGAGAGGGCGTGACGGGTGGCGTTAGCGAAGATATGGTGGCAGATCACCTTGAGGCCGTGCTTGGCCGCCTGGACAACTACTTTAGTGACAGTGAACCGGCGGGCACCGCGCCCCCGCCGCCGAACAGGCCGCCGCCGGGCGACAATCGTCCGGATGTCCTCCCGGCTGTGCGGCTGCCGCCGCCGCCGCCGCCGCCTTCCTTTTCCGTGCGTCGTGTGTTTTCCTCGACAAGCCGTGACCGTGCCACCCCTTCTGCGCAAGCGCCATCGACTCAGCAGCGGGGGCCGCAGGCGGCGCGGGAGCCCCAACGGGCCCTGACCGCTGAACGGGATGCCGAGGAAGATGCGGATGGCGAGTTGGGGCCTCTCGCGCTTGTAGGACTCTCCCGCCGGCATCTTTTTCCCTCCCACGCTGCTCGAGCGGAGGAGGCGTGCGAGGTTGACCCGCTGCCGTCGTTTTTGCCGGAGTCTTCCGCGGCGTCACCGCGGCCACGAGGCGGCAAGGGCGAGCAGCAGAAGCCAAAGCTGCACCCGCCCCGTCAATGCAGCCGGGAGGCTCCGCCGGAGTGGAGGAGTGCGGTGCGCTCGCTTTTTTACTCCCTGCTGTCGCTCCACCTGCAGGAAAGCGGCGGGGTCCGACCGGAGGAGATGGACCTGCGTGGTGGGGCGCCGGGTCCGCTGCGCCTGCAGGGGTCCGAGCTATCCGCGCTAAGTCCACAGGCGTTCAGGGCGTTGGATGTGACGCTCGACGGGAACTCATCCGCCATTCACTGCCGTCGGCCCCCCGCGCCCAGCATTCTTCAGCGCTCCCACGCCCAGCGGGCGAAGATGCCGATGGGGGCGGAGCCAACGGCGCTGCGTCGAAGGGTGATGGCCACTCTGGCGCAGTCACAACCCACCACCTGCGTGGAGAAGAGGCGTCTGCCTGCGACAGGGGCGTCACTGGGCCATGCGTGGGGGGGCGTGGAGCCGTCGGCCAGCCTGCGGCCCGCAGGGGGGAGCGGGCAACTGGATTTGCCAGGCGACACAACTCGCAGCCGCGTCTTGGCCTCTATCCTGGAAAACATAGACGCGCAGCGGAGAAGCGCGCGGGGCACCGTGAATGTACAGAGATAGTAAACACAATGCATGGGTCTCTCTCTCTCTCTCTTTATATATATATATATATATATATCTCTGCGCGTGTGCCTTCTGATCCTCTTTGTTGCTGCTGCGTGTGTTTTTCTTGCCAACCACACGAGACAGAAGCGAACTTCACACCTTGCGCTTCTGTCTCGTCTCTTCCGAAGTACGTGGCCGCCCCCTCTCTCTTTCTCTTTCCACTCCGCTCCATATTTTGCATCGGCGAGGACAATGCATCAACAACAAGTAAATAAGGAAGGGGACCTCACCGAACGCTGCAGCCTGTGAAGTGGTGGTGGTGGGTGCAACGGGGCGGTTAGAATGGCAAGCTCCTCTTCACAGGAAACGGCATGCAAAGTTCCAGCCACACGACTGGCGAGCAGCAAGGCCCCGTCCAAGGCTCCCACAGCAACATCAAAGGCACCTAAAGATACGCCCGCCGCCTCCACCGGGAAGCAAACGACGCTGCCGCGTAGTTCAGCAACAAAGACCAATCTATCGCTCCAGTTGACGCCATCGACACGAAAGAAAGGCGGGGGCTCGTCACCCCCTGTTTACTTGACTTCACAAACAAAAACAGTCACACCAACGCCGGTGCTCGCTACGCCCTCAGAGGCCCCCCCGGATGAATCCTTGCAGGTAGCGACGCATGATTGCCTACATACTCCTATTGGGCCACCACGAGAGATGCACCAGATGCCGGAGAACAAGGATGGGCAGCAGAAGGAGAGCGCCACGGATGCAGAGCACTCCGCGGCGAATGCGAAAGTACACGTGGAGGATGATGCTCCTCCACCATTGCAGGCATCCACTCCACCCTCAGCGGCGGAACCCGGCAATGAACGACTGTGGCAGGCCGTGGAAAAGGGACGGCACAATAGTGACTTCACGGGAAAAGAGGGTGTCATTCAGCAACTGATTAAGGCTGAAGAACGCATTGGCGAACTTTCTCTGGAGGTAGCAAGGCTAAAGAAGGCAATGAACCCAGATGGAAACCCGATATTTTTCCGCCATACTTTATGGATGGAAAGTGAGATGGAAAAGCTGAAACGGGAGCTTAACCGAGAGCGAACATCTACAAAGCACCATCTCGAAGCCCACAGGAAGAGCTTGATAGCGCTTAATAAACTCCAGGAAGTCATGGATCCATATGGAGATCGTGCCTCGCTGCTCCGCCGCAACACGGAGCTAGAATGCCAGATACGTGACATGGCGAAGGAAGAATTCGAGCACCGCCTTGCCATCGCAGAACTACGGGAGGAGGTGGCCTTGAGGGAGACTCGGTACGGCAGTTGCTCCAGCGGCTCTGAATACGTGACGGTGCGCCTAGCCAGTCTTTGCGGCCTCTGTCGTGAGAAGCTGGGGGCCGAGGCGGATTGCCGTGTTGCACGTGGTCGTCTGGCGGAGCTCGCGGCGGCGAAGCCATTGGGCGCCGTTCCACCGTCTCTCTCGGGCCCCTGGCCCCCGGAGGTGACGCGCGTGCCGCGGGAGCCACGCGGGCGGGCACCGGCAATGCCGCCCCCGCCGCAGTCGGCCTGCAAAATGGGCACCAGCGAGCCCTCAGCGACGCCCCAACGGCCCGGCGGCGCAGCCAGTATGTGGAGAGAGCTCACGGCG